TATTATCCAATTTTGTTGATGCTGTGTGAACTGTAGCCTTGGTTTCTTGTTCTTAGCACCCAGGTGACCCTCTGCTGCTTATCACCTAAAAGCAGTTTGGTAATTCTCCTCTGCCCTTCGGCATAAACAAAGCTTTTTCCCCATTCAATGAATATTTTCAGTTTTATGGACCATACTTTGTAAACACGACAGATGGTCATGTAGGTGAATCCCAGTACACAGCAGTTTCTGAAATACTCAGACCTTCCTGTCTGACACCAACAAAAATGCCACGTTCAAAGTTACTTAAATGACCTTTCTCCCCCATTCTGATGCTCAGTCAGAACTCCAGCAGGTTGTCTTGACCATGTCTACATGCCTAAATGTGCTGAGTTGCTGCCATGTGATTGGTTGCATTTCAAAGCAGCTGAAACAGGTGCACCTAGCAACGCAGTTAGTGATTGTAAGTCATATAAAATGTAGAAACCAAAAGTATTTACTAAGTTTCTTCTTTTTTTCTGTTCGTGTTGATACTACCAGAATAATACTGAACTTTTAAAAATTCACGAGCACAGTCACAGTCATCAAGATGCTGTTAGACATCTGCTTGGGTCTTCTAAGTTTAAACATAATTGAAATAATTGTGATATTAAGGAAAAAGGTGTGAAGCACATTTTACACACAGTAAATTTGTAAAAATCCCAGCAAACCCTAAACACAGCTTTTGTTAGGCCAGCTATTCATCCTACTTATTGTCACCAACAGTCCTTAATGCACAGCTCTTACTGCATTGTGTGACTTTAAAGGAAAACAGGTTGAGAGAGATATGCGTGCATGCGTTCACACAGCAGTAGTTAAGCATGAAACTACCAGGCAATCATTTGCATAAAATTCTCAAAGAAAGAAAAGTTCACTAAGAAAATCAATATATTATTGATCAATTTGCTGCTCCCAAATTCTTTATGTGGAGCAGCAGACTGGAGACTTACATCTCTTTCCTGTCAAGACCTTTTTTCTTCCCACTCTCGCTCCGTTCCACTCCCCTGCATGTGTCGACTAGAAAGAATTTAGTAGTAATTTTCTGGTCCTGATCTTACCCAGTAAGACTGCATTTGTGTGTTTGTTCGCTGTCATACGGTCACTGCGGCGCAAACAGAAAACTGGCGTGTTGCGGTGACCCGTGTCTCTGTGACCCAGAGTTACGATATTTTACTTTGGATCAATGCAGATTGCCTAATTAAGTCAATGCTAAACACAAGTCCTGTTAGAAGTGGCTCCGAATCAGGATGTCACTATTTGTGATTGGCAGGTATCACCACGTATTCAAAAACTATGGATCCATTAGTTCTTCCATTGTAGCCCACCTTGCTTCTCTTTATATTTTCTTCTCTTCTCATAGGCCCTGACTTAAAATGATAATCATTTTTGCCCCCTGGATTTGACTTTCAAGAGGACACTTGATGCAGTTTGTGGTTTGTGTTTGAGGAGATACATATATATATATATGTGTCTGTGTTTATATACATATACTCCAAGTGATGTCCAATGCAGCAGGCTAGATCCACTTTAGATTAGATTCTGGCAGCGCAGGTGCACACACCCACATAATGAATTGGTATTCTGAAAGAGCTCAGATTAAATCAAATATTCATTTTGTCTTCTTTCAACCTGCCTCTGTCCTTTATCATAAGCCATCCATCTTGCATTTCATTCCACGGCTTTAAAATCCTTTTCTCCAACTTTCGATATTCGGTGCCTTATGGGGATTGAAAAATTGTTCTTTCCTGCAATCTAATTAGCTAACGAAATGTTCCTATTAATTAGCTCACTTTGCTCTGAGAGATAATGTATTATTTATGTTGAGGCAGGTCCCAGTAGAACAGATTGATGTTTTCCAAGCCTGCGGCAGTATGCTGTGGCATTATGAGACGGTTCCTGTTGTTTCATTACTTGCAAACAACTCTTAAACGTCGCAAATCAGGTTACAGTTAAAACACACATGCATAAACACTAGCATGAAGAAAGGGAGAGAAAGAGAATAGATGACTAGTTACAGTTCTCATACTTTAAAATGCATGACGAATTTATTCCAATTACTCATCGTGATGATAATGCCTCTGCAGTCGTAAACTGGAATAATACTTGGATGTAATGTGGACTGGAGCCATTAAAGCTTTAATGATTCATGGCCTGATGTGCTAAAGTGCTGTGATGTTTTAATGCATTTTCAATGAAGCATAAAAGTAAAAGTGTGACGAGTGCATCAGAATCTATTTGGATGTGTTTTCAGTGTTTGGAGGAGGCTTGTGCCGCACGCTGTATGAGGTTTTGCAGATTAGCAGGGAAACAAATGCTCTGTTTTATTTTT